GAGGCAGGTATGGAGGAGGATCGAGGATGTCGGCGGAGACAGAGTCACCAGAGCGACTAGGGCCAGCAGACACGCCGGCGCTCTTGGAACGCATCCTGAGTTGATCGTTGCATCGTTGCCCTAACCCGCGTTTCAAGGAGGAAGGAGGAAGTAAGACGGAGGTATCGAAAGTTCTGAAGATCGCTGCGTACCAGTCGAAGCGAGCAGCCTACAATCAAGGCGTCGAACATGGTTGTTTCATTTGAAAAGGCTCGCCGACGAGTGGGCCAAGAATGGTGGTACGGCGCACCCGATGAACTATCACGTCCGAGATGGGATTCGCTTCCATCGGGATCAGGTGACTCTCATGGGCAGGTACAGGTCTGAGGTGCTGCAACAAGGGCACTTGCTCGGGCATCCTGATGCTGAGGCTCTGAAAGCGCGTAGGTCACAGGGGATATGTCCACCCCTATACCAGGCTTCGTGGGGTTTCCGGATGGACCAGACATTTGGGGCCCAACCCTGGGATATACGAGGGTGGGACGTCCATCCTCAGTAGGGTTGCGTTCGACTAGTCCCCTTGGGGCGTATCCCAGGGTTCTCCTTCTTCCTGAGCGGCTTCATTCTTCGTCGAAAATTCGGGGGTTTGGGGGGGAAAACACCGCCTGCGAGCAGGAAGAGGGCTAGCGCCAATTCGGTTGCCAGGGAGAGGATAATGGAGGAGGACAAGCATTCGGAGGCAACTACTGGGAGGCCCTCGTCGGAAGGATACCGGAGAATTTGAGCCCCCTTGGGAGGCTGCTGCGCCGGATCAGGCCGCGGACTCAGCGGGATCAGGAGGGACTAAGCGGGACGAAGCCGGAATCGGGGGGATTGAGCCGGGTCCCGGACCAGGGCGGAGTCAGAAGTTGGCCTCCCAGGAGTCGCCTCCGAGCGAGCACGAGCAGCAGCAGCAGCAGCAGCAGCAGCCGCAGCAGGCGGAGGACCGCGGGCCAAAGCTCCACATGCTCCTGCCCCTCCTCGCCGGGCGCCGCCCCGGCCCAGTGCAGGGAGGCCGCCGCCAAGGCGTTCCCGAGGCACAGGACAAAGGAGACGGCGGAGCCCTGGTACCTGCGCGGGAGCAGAGGATCGTTCGAGGATCGAGGACCGCGGCTGGAGGATGTAGGTCGATCGAAGACCGATCGAAGGTCGATCGGGTCGAGGACCGATCGAAGGTCGATCGGTTCGAGGGTCGAGGATCGAGGTTCGAGGTTCGAGGTCGAGGGGTCGAGGATCGGGTCGAGGGGTCGACGTACGTCGATCGAGGATCGAGAACCGATCGAAGGTTGATCGGGTCGAGGACCGATCAAAGATCGGTCGGGTCGAGGGGTCGAGGGGTCGATCGAGGAAAGGAGAGGAAAAGGGAAGGGTGAGGGAAGGCGGGAGAATGACTCGAGAAGGAGGCCAGAGCGAGGAGGGGGCTCAGCAGGAGGGGAGGGGAGGGAAGGGGAAGGAGTAAGGGCAGCAGGCGGGAGGAGGAGGAGGAGGAGGAGGAGGAGGACGAGAGATTCCGTAGCCACTTGGGCTCAAGGACTTTGTTGCTCACAATCCTTTCACGGTCGTGCCCCCCTCTTGAGGTAGAGGGCTCTGTCGCTCGGTGCTGTATTTCATACCTGGAGCCGCGATGCCGCGAAGTCGGAATATGCCGCACATCGCCACCCGTCATGGTCATTTTCTCGTTCACGTGTCTACCCTGCAAGAGGCTGCAGACCTCATCAGACCTCATCAAGGAGCTGGACGGACTTGGGATTGGCACCGAAGGCTCTGTTCTCGGACACTTCGAAGGCACCCTCAGGCAAGCAGATGGGGCGCTGGGCCTGGAGCGGAAGGCCTCCACAGAGGAGGTCAGAAAGGGCCCCCTGGCGCGGGGCCCAAGAGATTTGGCCGAACGCTGGTGCAGGGCCCGTGCTGGCCGTCGCCTGGAGGCCCACCCCGATCCGCACCTCTCCGACGAGGCCCTGGAGGCGCTCACCAAGCCTTTCCCAGTCGGACCCCACGGCCCAGGAGAACGGCGCCACGTTCACGAGCAGGAACGGGAGGCAGCTCCGACGAGCTCGCCCGGAACGGGGGCCGAGAGCGCCAGGCCGTGTCCTCTCCAGCAGCTGCCGAGGCAGCTGCTGGACAGCAAGGCCCTCCTCCTCGCTGGAGCCCGCCGCCGCTCGAGGGCGGCGTGGCCGCGGCCAGCGATCACAGGACCGAGGTCGCCAAGGAGAGCGGCGTCGAGGCACCGACGAGCGTCGAGGGCCACGGATGGGAGGCCCGAGGAGCTACGGCTCCCCGCCGCCCGGCCTCACGCGCTCCCTGGCGCACGCCGGGGCAGAGTGAGCACTCCCAGCCGAGAGAAGCCGGGAGCGGGCAGGAGATGTTCGGAGGGAGTGCTGCCGACTCTGCCTCGCCAGTTTCTCGGAGACCGCCTCGGCGAGCAGCTTCGGGCAGAGGGTGCTCAGGCCGGCCAGCGTCCAACTTCGACGGCAAGGGCAAGATCGCGTGCCGCACTTTGCCCAGGGCAGGTGTGCGGATGCGGGGGGCCACGAGACCGCCTCGGTGAGCAGCTTCGGGCAAAGGGTGCTCAGGCTTCGTGGGCCCTGGAAACGACAGGGCCGTTTTTGTTACCGGTTCCGTTTTGCCGTTTTTGTTGCCGGTTCCGACGCCGTTTTTTTACCAGTTCCGTCGCCGTTGTTTGACCGGTTCCGGCTCCGGTTCCAATCCTGGAGTCGTTTTTTTGCCGTTTCCGGTCGCCGTTTTTTTGCCGTTTCCATTTTCAAGGGACATTTTTGGGGAAACGGTGAAAAAAAAACGGCCCTGCCGTTTCCGGGGCCCACAAAGTGCTCAGGTCAGCCAGCGTCCAACTTCGACGGCACGGGCAAGATTGCGTGCCGCATTTGCCACAGGGCAGGTGTGCGGATGCGGGGGGCCACGAGGTCGCCATGAAGAACCATTGTACAGTCGGGGCCTTGACCTAAGGAACCCTAAGTAAGGAATGAGGCCCCTTTTCTCCAGAAGTTAAACTTCGATTTCCTATCGAAAACGTAAGGAAAACCTGAGGCAAGCTGTGAAACACTTAAGGAACGCGGAGCACCTCCCCAACCAAAAGGGTTCCTTCTTCAGGGCCCCGACTGTGCGGAGTTCTTGGACATGGGGCCCAGGATTTCGACTCAGATCATGCCGCCAATGCCGCCGATCAGTTCGAATTGCCGCGGTCAGAGGCCACCTGCAGCGCTATGTCGTGCAGACGTGCGTGAGGATGAGGCGCGTTCATCCCCGTCAGGTGTCTGCATACGCTGCCAAGGGATGTTCGGACGCACGAGCTGTTTCACGAGCGCTGGCCCTTCCCGCAAGGCCACCTGCTACACGTGTGGCCGTAGGTGTGGCAAGGGCAGGATGGTTATTGATTGCATCGAGTGTGACTCGTGGGCTCATGTCGCATGCTTCCCTGACAGACTGAAGGTAGTATGCAGCAGGTGAGCAGGAATTTGCATGATGAGCCTTCACCTCTTCCATGACTTCCTCCACCCACAGTTGCGTCTCTTCATGTCTCGCTCGCCCCCATCACAATATTGCAGCTGTTGCGTTGCACCTGAGGTCGAGGGGAGTTGCGAGACCATAGTGGCAGAGCTTCGAGGGCAGGCGCCTAAAGGTCCCCCAAAGCTCCAAACGAGGACGCTTCTCTCCTGTTCGTCCTTCCCCCTGCCGCCCAGCAGCGAGGATGAGCATGCAGAGCTTGCTTCACCTCTCTCCCAGCTCCAGTTGCCATCCTCTGTCCAGCCTGGGCCCTGGAGGTGGCGGGGGGGTTGGAGGATTTCGAGTTGTCGTGTGTGTGTGTGTGGCGTGTGTGCGCGAGGGGTGTTGCGTGTATTGGGAGAGAAAGGAGACTCCCCTGACCCGCCCCAGCAGCCGCACCACCCCAAAGGCAACGTCGTTGTCGTGTGCGCGTGCATCGGCAAAGACCTTGCACCGCTGAAGGGGGTGCCCAGTAGAGTTAACCCAAGCGTCAAAGGGTTCTGGTGGCACAATGTTGTGGGCACCCCCTCCCTTCCCCTCCAGCGACAGGGGCGCGGCCAGAAGCTGAGAAGATCAAGCAGTTGCAGGAAACTGTGGGTAATCAGCGGCAGAAAACTCTTGAGTCCAGCACTTCGAATGTAGAGCTCATGATGGAGATCGAAACTCTCAAGATCAGCAGGCTGTCCTATAGGAGCAGAGGCCAAGAAGTTCGCCCCTCCTTCCCTCCACGACCCCCCCCCCCCTCGGCTCCCAACCGCTCCAGCCCTGCTCCCGGTTCCCCGCATGCGCCAGGACGGCGAAGGCCACGTCCGCCACGTGACAGTCCAGGTAAGGGGTCCAAACGAGTATGTGGCTTGGCTGGCCTCCAGCTCGACTGGCTTTCAGATGTAGCTTCCATCAAGCCCCAGCCTCCTACTTGACTGGCCTCTGGGCATGACAAAGTAGCTCTTGGACCCCTCACCCCTCCTCCTCCCTCCGCCCCCCCGCGCCGGACCGATGCCGTCGGCCGCGGAGGTCTAGGCGGGGCATGAGGAGGAGCAACAGCAGGATCATATGAGGCCAATGTCTCCTTACTTCCCGTTGTCCCTTCTTTGTAGTCCAGTGTGCCCCGCATGTTGGACTATCTTGACGTCTGAGTCTGATCCTGAGGAGGAGGAGAGAGCAAGCAGGGGAAACGAGGACGGGCATGATGCAGTATATCGGATATAGAGTCGAGGGCGGAGGAGGGAAGATGCTGGATGGTGCAGGATGGGGGATAAAGCAGGATGGAGGTGGAGGATGATGAAAGCGGGGGAAGCGAGGATGGTGGAGGAAGGGGGGGATGAGGAGGAGGAGAAGGAGGAGGAGGAGGAAGAGGAGGAGGAGGAGAAGGAGGAGAGAAGGAGGAGGAAGAGGAAATCGAGACGGTTGGATGATGACGGAGGGGGAAGGGGAGGACGAGGAGGAGGAGGATGAGGAGGAGGAGAGAGGGGGAGTGGGGGGAAGAGGAGGAGAAAGGAGAGTAGGAGGATGCAGAGGAAAAAATACCGAAAAGGATGGAAACTATGAGGAAGGCTTCTTAGGACGAAGATCTGTGCCCACACCGAATAAACAGCAAGAAGGTGAGCAGGGAGGAGGGAGGCGGAAATAGGATGGGGGGAGGGAGGCGGAAGAGAAGGAGGAGGAGGAGGAGGAGGAGGAGGAGGAGGAGGAGGAGGAGGGGAAGGAGGAGACCGACGACGACTTCGAGGACGAGAGAGGGCCGCAGGGGGAGGTATGAGGGGAGGAGACGGGGAAGAGGGGGCGAAAGAGAAGGGAGGAGGGCGATTTGATGACGAGGATGCGAGGGCAGGAGAGGGAGGAGAGGGGAGGGGGGGACGTGGACAGGGGAATGACAATCAGGAACAGGGGGGGCGGGCAGGAGAACGGCGAAGAAGAAGAGCAAGGCACATGCCCCCTCCGCGGAGACGGAGCCCGATCAGGCGCCGGCCGTAAGGCAGCTCCACGCGCCCCATCGGGAGGGCGAGGATGAGCACGGTCCTGATGAAGTTGGCCAGGTTGATCGCGATCACGAGCTTCCACTCGAGAAGGGCCTAGCCTCGTCCCTCCTCCATTCCCCCTCGTTCTCCCCCTTCCTCATCTTCCTCCTCTGTCCTGCCCCTATTATCGCTGTCTTCCTCCGCCTCCTCCTTCTCTGACTTCCTACTCCCTATCTTCCTCCTCTTTCTGCCCACTACACGGGGAGAGGAGCTTATGTACGACCAGGGCCTCGAAAGAATCTTGAACCTTCGGCAGCGCGCGGTAATTGACGATCCCGATGACCCAGAGGTTACAGCTCAAGCATGTCTCGACGAGGCCCTGGACGATGCAGTAGTAGTGCAGTAAGTCGATTGGGGCGCAATGCCGTAGATGGCGTAGCCTTTCCGATTGGCGCCAGTAGCTCACGACCTGAATGCAACAATCCGCGGCCTTGGCTCCAAGACTCCAGGGCCTCATTCGAGGGCGCATCCTCATGTTCGATCAAATCATCTGCGCCGGAACTGGCCACATTCAAAACGCTGGTTTGCAAAAATGCCTACGGAAATGAAGGGTGGCTCCACTCAGAGCGACCCGCGCGAAACGGCATCTGAGTCGAGACCAATCGTTGTATTTGAAACGCCTTCTGTGATATCCATACATGACCTGATGCGTAGAATCGGAGACATAGGGCAGGCTCGTTTACCCCCGCATAGTCATCTATACTTATCGATTGTAACGACCTTTCGCCTCAGATGGGAGGTGCAAGTAGGAGGAGGAGGGGGAGGATAATGAGAAGACGGAAGAGCGGGAGGAGGATCTGGGGAGGGGGGAAGGAGAAGGATGGCGGAGCAGGAACAGGGGGAGGAGGGGAGAGCTGGAGGAGACGTGGAAGGAGGCGGGGGGGTTGGGGGAGACAGGGGGACGGGCAGGTGGAGGTGGAACACGAGGTGGCAGCCCAATGAGGTGAGCTACTTGCCCTCACAACAATCGCGCGGGACGAGGCCTCCGCATCCTCTCATTCCTCCTCGTCATCCCCATCCCCCCAGACCGCTGGCGACCCGATCGATCGATAAAAACGAGGGGGCGTGAATGTGCCCGCCTATACGTGGGACAGCCATGGGCCTCCATGGACCTCGGCTGACCTACGTGATCGACCGCGGCCACTGGCGACTCGACAGAATCGCGAGCTGCGTTCGTTCTCGTTCGCCGACCAGATGCAAACGCGTCGGGCTCCAACCATTCATTTGGCAGGGGCGGCGGCAGCGAAAACGGGCGAGGGGAGCGTTGGAGAATCAATCACGAACGACAGCGGGCGGCGAAGAGCGACGGTTCAGGACCTCCATGTTCTCCCTCTGCTCATCCGCCTCCTCCTCCTCCTCCTCCTCCTCCTCCTCCAACTCGGCCTCCTCCCCCTCCTCCTTCTCCTCCTCCTCCTCCTCCTCCTCCTCCTCCTCCTCTACCGCCTCCGCCTCCTCCTCCTCCTCCTCATCATCATCATCATCATCAGCATCATCATCCGCCGCCGCCGCCGCCTCCTCATCCTCCGCCTCCTCCTCCTCCACCTCTTCCTCCTCCTCTTCCTCCGCCTCCTCCGCCTCCTCCTCCTCTTCTTCCTCTCCTCCTCATCCCGATCCTACTCCCCTGCCCCAGATTCTAGACCATCTCCTACTCATCCGACTCCTCCTAGAGATGATCCTCCATCTCGTCATGTTCCTGCTTCTTCTCCTTCTCCAGCCTCGTCGTTTTCAATTCAATCCGTCCTCCTGCTTCTGCTCCTTCATGTACTCCTCCACGTCCTCCGCCCCATCTCCTGCTCCTCCCCCCATCCTGTCCCTCCACCTCATGGTGATCATCGTCATCATGCGTCTCTGAATTATTAAATTCCTCCTCATCCACTTCCTCCGACCCCTGGTCATCGTCATTCCTCTCGCCTTCAGCTCCCAGTCCTTGAGCTCCCCCTCCTTCAGCTCATCATTCTCCTCCTTCTCCACCTCCTCCTCCTCCTCCTCCTCCTCCTCCTCCTCCTCCTCCTCCTCCTCCTCCTCTCATTGCCCTCCATCTCTCATCCCTCTCTTCACCCTCCTTCTTATGGCTATCTCCCCTCGCCCCTCACCACCCTCATCAATCATATCATCCTATTTCTCATCGTCCGATTACTGAATTGTGTGCTGCTGAGGTTACCCCTTTTCCAGTCCTCCCCTCCCCCCTCGAAGCGGAATCCTGAACGGCAGGGCGGTGTGGTAGGGGCTCCCCGGCTTCACGAGAGGCTTGGACTCTAGCGAGAAGCCCCCCACCTCGCTTTCGGGAAAAAGAGTGAGAGGAGCAAGAGAGGGGTGAGGGGGAGGTTGTCCTCCTCTTCCGCCTCCTACTCGTCCTCGTCATCATCATCAGCAGCATCATCGTTACCAACCTTCTCACCATCCCCATCATCACCCATATCATAATGCCTTCCTCTTCATCATCTAGCCAGACGAACCCCTTGATCACAGTCACTCATCTCAACATGCCCCTCCTCCCCGATATCAGATCCGTCGTCAGCATCATCAGCATCAGCAGTATCATCATGATCAGCATCATCATCATCATCATCATCATCATCATCATCATCATCATCATCATTATCAAGATCAACAGCATCATCATCATCAGCAGCATCATCATCATCAGCATCATCATCATCAGCATCGTCATCAGCAGCATCATCATCAGCGTCACCATCACCAGCATCATCATCAGCAGCAGCATCATCATCAAACTCACCATCCTCACCATGACAAGCATCATCAGCATCAGCAGCATCGTCATCTGCATCATCAGCATCATCATCATCAGCATCATCATCACCGATATCGTCGACGTCCCCCTCCTTCTCCTCCTCCTCATCCTCATCCACCCATCTTCTTGATCAACATCATCCTCCTCCGCCTCGCCCCTCCTCAACCACCTCTTCCACAATCAAGAACCATCATCACGCATGTCATCATCTCCCTCTTCCTGTCATAATACCACCATCGTCCTGATCAGTTTCACCACCATTACGACTATCGTCCCGTCCTCATCCTTCTCCTCCTAATCATCATCACCGTCATCAGTATCATCATCAGCATCATCAACATCATCACTGCCATCAGCATCATCATGATCAGCATCATCAGCATCGTCATCATCACCATCGTCATCATCATCCTCATCATCATCATCATCATCATCATCATCAGCAGCACCAACATCATCATCATCGTCGTCATCGTCACCATCATCTTCCTCATCAGCCCTACCCGTACCTTCACCATCGTCATCACATTCCCCATCCCCATCGTCACCATCGCCCTAATCAGCATCGTCATTCCCCTCATCCTCGGCAGTATCAGAGTCCTCGCCCTTATCGTCGCCACTTTCCCCTTTTATCCGTATTCACTCTTGGTATATGTTCCGACTCTGCCACCCAGCCAGCCGATGGCACCAGGATGACGAGCCCATCAGGGAGGACCCATCCTACCTGCTAAACCCTAGCGCCACGTACACAGCTCGGTATCCGCAAGCACGCTGCAGCGACAGCAGGACCGCGCGAGAGCAGGCAAAAACGCGCCCTCGCCGAAGCCAGGTGCATTGTGTGCCTGGGAGTGGCAGCGCTGTGTCGGCGCGGTGCATGCCCCATCTTTGCCGTGATCCTCGAGAGTGTCGCCGCCCCCGCCCGTGGCCGGCCCGCGCAGTTGCCCCCTCGCCCAGTCGTGGGAACCATGACCGCGCGCGAGGGTCTTCCGTTTACCAGGTGGGGACGTGCTCCAAGCCCAGCTTCAAGGCGTGCCACAGTTGCTTCATATGTTATGGCAGAGGGGGTTGGAATGGGCGGAGCCCACTGGCTTGTTCGACCTGGCTAACTTGACTCCTCCTCCTCCTCCTTCTCCTCCCAATCTCCTCTTCTTCATCCTCCCGCTCCTCCTCCTCCTCCTCATCCGCCTCCGCCTCCGCCTCTCCATCCTCATCCTTCTCCTCCATTTTATCATCCACCCCCCCTCCCTCCCCCACACACACCCAAGAGGACCGGCGTGCAATGCTGGGCGATGGCCACAGGCGACCAGGGGGAGGAGGAGGCGGGGGGGTAGGAGGAGGAGCAGAGGAATTCGAAGATGAAGGGATGATAAATGGCGAGGAGGAAGGGGACGACGACGATGATCAAGAGATGGTGGAGGAGCAGGGGGGCGAGAAGAAGGATGGATGGGGCTGGCTCGGGAGGAAGGCCTGGCCTCCAGAACGTGTCGCCCGCGAAGGTGGTACAGATCGGGAGCGCACCGAGAGTCGCAACGCTGCGGAGAAGAGTTCGGAGAGAACGAAGGGTCCAGTTCCGCACCAGGCCTCGAGCATACACATGAGACCCCTCGAAGCCTTCGCATTGAGATCAATGTAACGGAGCCTCCCTGGAAGAGACAGGAAGGAGGCTGATCAAGATCAGGATCAGTGCCCGTAGGAATTCGTCTGCTTCTGCCGATCACCTGCTACATGACTGCTCAGCTTGCTTAAACGCAGGGGGGGACTCTAGGGGGGGCGAAACTTTCGCCTCACCGTCAAGCGCGGCCGGTGACTCACGACAGACGCCGCACCGCCATTGCGAGCACCCCCGGACCAGCACGCAGCGTCAAGGGGGCCCACGGGTGGGGACCAGTACGCTACTGCTACCAGCCCTCACTGAAGGCAGACCTGTCTGAGGGCGACCAACACTTGAAAGCACATGGCTGACGCTGCAGGCAAAAAAACAACAACCCTGAGAACGCAAACCGATTGCAAGAACGGCTTCATTCGGTGGATTCTGGGGCTCCCAACTTCGCGCTTCGCGCTCCGCGATGCGCGAAGCGCGAATAACTTCGCGCTCTCGCGCCGCCCCCCAAAAGGGAGGAAAGGAGGACGAGGAGGAGGGGGAGAAGGAACGAGGACCGCGAAGCGCAAAGCGCGAATAACGTCGCGCCCTCGAGGGCACCCTTGTGGATTGCTGCCTTCAAAGAGGTGCGCTGCGGGCGAGGACCCCCCCCGCGACTCGATGCAGACACGACACCTGCCCCCAGGAGAGCATCGAGGGCCCTCGGCGCAAAAACTCTGCCAGGAGAACCCCACGGTCAGAAAGCCACTTGGCCCCTCCCTCCTCCTCCTCCTCCTCCTCCTCCTCCTCCTCCTCCTCCTCCTCTCCTCCTCCTCCTCCGCCACCTCCTCTTCCTCTTCCTCCTCCTCCTCTTCCTCCTCCTCCTCTTCCTCCTCCTCCTCTTTCCCTCCTCCGCCTCCATCTCCTCCTCCATCTCCTCCTCTCCTCCTCCTCCTCCTCCTCCTCCGCCACCTCCTCCTCCTCCTCCTCTTCCCCTCCCCCCTCCCTCCTCCTCCTCCTCTCTCTCCTCCTCTCCTCCGCCTCATCCTCCTCCTCCTTTGTCCTCCTCTTCCCTCCTCCTCCTCCCTCCCTCCTCCTCCTTCCTTCTCCTCCTCCTCCTCCTCCTCCCTCCTCCTCCCTCCTCTCTCCTCCTCCTCCTCCTCCTCCTCCTCCTCCTCCTCCTCCTCCTCCTCCTCCTCATCCTCCTCCTCCTCACCCTGCTTTCCGAGGCGAAGGGAAGACCAAGGCATAATCGGGCAGTCGGGCAGCGGTAACTCGGGCCTTCCGAGAGGCGGTGGGTATGGAGGATACATCGGGCGCTGGGGCCGCTCCAGAGCGGTCCAGACTGGTCTGAGAGCATTTCGGAACGCTGTGTAGCGATCCGTGCGTATCCTAGATCTGCCCGACTTTTATCCAGAAGGTTAAGGCGCATAGGATACAAAGAAAACATTACAGTCGGACGTCATTGGACAGGACACGCGAGAGGACACAAGACCCTTGCGAGGGTCACATCGCCACAGGAATGCAGGAGGCACGGGTCGCGAGGCACAGGACACAAGGGTAACCTTGAGTTGGCAGGGTCGACCTACTAATCCGGGCTGACTGTAACCTGACCCAGGCGCTTGCACCCCTGAAAGGCTCGCCTGCTTCCTCGGCTTGACGGGCATGTTGAAGATGGTTCGTAGCCACCTGTCGCCGACAAGCTTCGTCTGTGGCACCTCGGCTCCACTGAAGCGTGGTGGAAGAGGGTGAGGAAGATGTAGGATCCGCCACCGTGCCGCTGGGCACGGAGTCGGGATGTTCTCGGGTCCTCTGCCTAATCCCGCAAGCACACCCGAGGAGTCTTCTAGGGGCCGCACCCCGCATGTCGAAATCTTCTCTTGGTGCTTGTCGCGTCGTGTCGCTTGACTCTTTCAGAGCCAAGAGGGCCCCAGGACTGGCCAGGGGAGGCCCAAGAGCCCCCACAACGGTCCAAGAGAGGGCCCCGAGTCGCCGAACGATCGCTCCAAGGCTCTCAAGATGGCTCCCAGACGGCCCAGGAGACCTCCGAGACGCCCCGGAAGGCCTCGAAGAGGCCTCCCAGGAAGGCCCTAAGAGGCCAAAAACATTGTTCTCCCGTTTGTGTTTACGGGTTTCTTGCGTGCTCGCCTCGAGGAGGAGGAGAAGGAGGAGGAGGAGGAGGAGGAGGACGAGGAGGAGGAGGAGGAGGAGGGGAAGGAGGAGGAGCAGGAGGAGGAGGAGGAGGAGGAGAGGATATGGAGGAGGCGAGGTGGTAGGGGCCTCACCGACGTTCACCGGCTTGTGGCCCATCGAGGCCGCGCGCCCGTCACCCCCAGGGGGGCCTCCAAGAGGGCCCCCAAAGGCAGCGTTGGAGCGCCCCACGAAGGCAAGAGGCCCACGATGGCCCGAGAGGGCCCCCAAGACGACCCCGAAAGGGGCCCAAGGGAGGGAACGCAGGCCGAAAGTCCGAGCCTTCCGCCCCAAGAGGCCCCAGGAGGCCCCCAAAGGCGCCCAAGAGGCCCCGGGAGGCACCCAAGAGGTTGCCATGAAGCCCCCCAGGGGCCCCAAAAACAGCCCCCCAAAGGCCTCAAACTGCCTCCAAGAGGCCCCCGAGAGGCCTCCCACGAGATCCCAACGAACACCCGATAGGCTTCACACCCACAACCCAGACACGGTGGCGTGATGGGCCGAAGGCCGTTCGATGAATGGATCGTTTGGCAACCAACAGTGGGTTCTATGGGCTTCTAGCACAACAACTTGCGTCGCCCAGTGTAGCGGCTTACAGCACTAGAGGCGGCCTGCGTGAGGAAACATACATGTGTGTAGATGGCGAATCCTCTGATTCATTCACTTCCTCTTCCCTCTCCTCCTCATTGGGACAAAAGCCCGTGGCGCGACCATCCGCAGAGGTGTGACGCAGAAGAACAAGGACATCATGATGGGAATATTCTGGTCAATGTAAAGACCTCTCAAAAACCAAGGATAACGTTACACCGAAGAAAATATTGAGCGCCATCGATTGATTATGCCATCTTGTCCAGTGGACCAGTTAGGTGTGGCCCGACACTTTCGACAATAAATACACGCATCGCCTTCTGGACAGCATGCGATGGAAGGAGGAGGACGAGGAGGAGGAGAGGAGGAGGAGGAGGCGAGGAGGAGGAGGAGGAGCAGGAGGAGAGGGAAGAAAGAACACCAGAGGAGAAAGGGCGCATCCGTTCTGCCTGACAGAAGCGGAGTGAAAATTGGCATGCGCTCTGGACTGTCTCGGTGTTCAGACATGTGCCACAAAAAAAAGGTTCATGGCGCCGTAGATGAGATGTGCCCGCGCAGCAGCAGTGTACGTGCATGGCGGCTTGCTTGTGCGTGATCCCAGGGAAATCGCATCCAGATCGGGCCAGCTTCCAGCTTGCCCAGAGACCAGTCCAGCCTGAAGCCCACGCGCTCGCACCCCTGTACGGTGAGGGCATTGGATAAGGAGCCATGAAATAAGGAATACAGGGTCTAGAACCAAGTGGGGCTCCAGTCGTAGACTGGCCATGGATATCACCGCCGCCCTCATGAGATAAGGAATCCCCCAGGGTCTGAGGCCCCCCTGCAGAGCAGGAAAAACGCCATACACATGAGCTTTTGGCGCTCCGCGCTGGATTTCTTGGATCCACGCCGGGCCCCCCTCCCTGGCGCGCGGAGCGCTCCCGGGCGGCGCCGGAGGCGCCGCCTGGGGGGGCCCAGCGCGGATCCAAGAAATCCAGCGCGGAGCGCCAAAAGTGTATGTTTATGGCGTTTTTCTTGCTTCGTTTCCCATCGAAAACCCGAGGAGAACCCCAGGCAAACATGTGAAGCAATCAAGGAACACCGAGCCCCTCCCCGACGAAAAGGCTTCCTTCTTCGGGGCCCCGACTGTAAGGAATCCCCCAGGGTATGAGGCCTCCTGGGCACGCTCCTTCGCGAACGCCCCCACCGCAGCAGACGCGCCCCTATGCCATTCCACTCGCCGCCGCCGGCCCTGGCCGCCCCCCCCTCCGCTCCTCCTCCCGCTCTCCCCCCTCGCCGCCGCCCTGACCTCTCCCCCTCCTCCTGCCTCCTCCTCCTCCTCCTCCTCCTCCTCCTCCTCCTCCTCCTCCTCCTCCTCCTGCTCCCCTTTTTCCTCCTCCTCCTCCTCCTCCTCCATATCTCCCTCCTCCTCCTCCTCCTCCTCATCATCATCATCATCATCATCATCATCATCCTCATCCTCGTCCTCCTCCTCCTCCTCCTCCTTCTCATCCATCATCTTCATCATCATCCCTCAGACAGACATCCGACGTAGTGAATTCTTCATGGCACAACTCCGCAGAAGTCTGGACCTCTTTCCAGGGACAAATATCAGGAGCCCTTGCTTGACTGTCCCATGGGCCCAGTGCGAGCTCCCGGAGGCCCGAAAGTGCCCCGAACCAAAAAAGGGCGCGATGATGTTAAGACCACCCACCGTTCCCCGGATGGTCTCTCCTACACCGCGGTCCTGGCTTGGATGCGAGACCCCCCCCCCTGAGGCGGATGCTGGCGTGTCCCTCTGCACGCAGAAGTCCAGCGTGGTGTCCTCACCTTGGCCAGAGGGGGAGTGAGAGGACGAGGAAGGATGAGAGGGGATTCCTCCCTCCCCTCTGGTCCCTCTTTCCTCTCCCCCTCCCCGCCACGTCCCTGCCCGATTCCTCACCCTCCCCTCTCTCGTCGTTCTCCTGCCAGCCCTCGTCGTCATTCTCCTCCTCATCCTCGCCTCATCCCCCTCCTCCTCCTCCTCCTCCTCCTCCTCCTCCTCCTCCTCCTCCTCCTCCTCCTGTCCCCCCCCCCCGCTCCCCAATCTTCCCCACCCCCCACGTCCAAGAGGCACCGGAAGGACGGGCATCTTGCAGGACGAGCACTGCGCCTGGGCCTGGCTGTCGAAGATCCATATGGACGACCGCGGCACGGAGCCCAAGCGCCATGTCAAAACCACGGCGAGAATTTTGTTGTCGCTTTGAGCCTCTGGGTTCCGGAGAGAAGCGAATACCCACCGCCAACGAGAAGCCATCGGGGGGAGGGGGTTGAGCCCCCCCGATGGGTTCTTGGTAGCGGTGGTCTCTGTTCCTCCTTTCATGGACGCACGTTCGGGCCCAAGGACCACCACCACGAATCAGCCCGCGGCAGACAAACTATCCAAAGAGGGGTGATCGGAAGCTCCGGGGGAACCAAAACAACGTTGATCAGAGGTCTAGAGATGATTCAGCTTGACAATGTAAGATGCACGAGCGCGCGCATGCGCAAACATGGTATATCCCACGCGACGGGCGTAGACGCGCATCAAAGGCACCACGGCATAGCCGCAAACGCTTCGAACGGGTTCAAGTGTACGACACAAGTGTGGACAAATGCACATGCCTAGCGCACTACGTACACCATCAGGTACCAGCGCGCATGCCTACTCGACCACCAAAAGGGCGCGCGTTCGCTGGCGGCCGATGCCGCGAATTTGAACGCTTCTGCAAACACAAGATGTGGGCTGAATTTCGGAAGGTGTCTTTTTTGGCTGTCGGTCCTCCTCGGAAAAGTCCGCATCCAGCACAGACGTTTGTAAGGCACAGGGCCCGAAATACTTCACCGGCTCTGTTACTGACGAGAGAGGTGCAACACTACCGCCGTTACGCACATGAGGTGCACGCGCATTCGCACTGTGAGAGATACCAGTGTGGCATGCTCGCGCAAAGATGGGAGCCGAAGGTGGCACGTCCGCCTTTTCATCGCACATGCGCGCCACTGTGTCACTAGCCGCCCCGCGACCGAAGAAGCGCTGTGATGGCGCACTCGCGCCCACACAAGAGGAACAAAAACAGGAATAGGCATCATCTTTCGGCGGTGGACAAACCTCCCTTTAGTACACCTCCCCTTAGTGAAAACGGCCTGGGACCGAAACCGACGGACCTGGACCCGCAAAAACGACGGCCGCGACGACCCCTCGTGAACCGAAAACGGCCAATTCTTCAATCGACGTGTCAGGGTAGGAGGTCTATCCACCTCCGAATCTTTGGGAGACCCGTGCAGATTTCTTGGATCTGTGCTGGGCCGCCCTCGTGGCGCGCGACGCGCGCCGAGGCCGGCCGTGGCGGTGCCGACAGGGGGCCCAGGCGCCAACCCAAGAGATCCGCGCCCTCCTCCGAGAAGTGATGCTTCTGACGGTTTTTGTTAGTCAACTCGTGGCAACTCAAAGCCAACAGAATGCAGAACTTCATTGCGAATTTCGGCATGGCATCGCCTAAGATCCCGTCCGCCGACAGGTGGTCTGCATCGAGGCCAGCGGGCAGCGCAAGGAACATAATTAGATCGGAGCAGGGCGAATTGAATCGGTCCCCCTTGAATCAGTCCCCAGACCCCTCTCGGGGTCCGAACGCACCAATTTTTCGAGCTGCGTCCAGCCGGGGGTGGCGAGGGGCCCCCCCAAAGGCCAACAACTGGTGGCTCAACTCACCCTGCCCTGCATCGAACTCGAGAAAGCCAGCCCACACCATCACTCGGCGGTGAGCCCCAGGGGGAACAAATTAGAAGGGGCAGGCCGTCTCAAAGGCGGCGGAGCTTCTCGAAAGCCCTCCGGCCTTCCGAGAAGCCGTCCCCGTCTCCGGAGAGGGCCTAGAAAACTTATCAGAAGAACGGAGGCCTTCCGAGCCTTCTAAGCAGGCCGCCCCCTTTCGCAGGCGAACCCAGAATCGAATCGTTAAGTCGGATCGGCGGTCGAACTAAGTCGGACCGGCGGAAACCGGTAGCCGAGTCGGGAGAAGTCAAATCGGCAGAAATCGGCAGGCCAGTACACCTCCAGTGACACATGGGAGCCCCAACTCGAAAAATCCCAAGTCGACTCGAATCGGAACCCAAACCCAGCGAAATCGAATCGAGTCGAACCGGGGGAATCGAAGCGAGCCCTGCTTCTGGGCCCTCCGACTTCCCCCCCGGGGTCGCCGCCGAACCCCTGCCGGGGGCCTCCGGGGCTCGCTCTGAGCCGCCAAAAGCCCAACACGTCCGCTGGGCCTCTGTAGCGCGCTCGCCGCTGCCGTGGAGCCCAGGAGGAGGAGGAGGAGGAGGAGGAGGAGGAGGAGGAGGAGGAGGAGGAGGAGGAGGGAGGAGGAGGAGGAGGAGGAGGAGGAGGAGGAGGAGGAGGAGGAGGAGGAGGAAGAGGAGAAGGGAGGAGGGAGGAGGGAGCACGGGTCGCCGGTGCGCGGGAGGCCACGGGGTGCCGGCACTCGGCTGGGGCGCTGGGCGCTGGAGATCTCGAGGACCCGGCTGCCCCGGGACGCCACACGCAGCACGCAGCGTGCCGGCACGGAGCTCAGCACGCAGGCGGGGCACGCAGGTCCAGCTCTGGCGCGAAGGGTTCGCCAGAGCGTGGGCCACCCCGCGCGCCGAGCCAGCACGCAACGTGTTGGCACGGTCATTTTGAGCACGGTGGGTGCTGCGCTTCAGCGCGGGCGTACCAGGGCAGCCGAGTACCCAGAAGGAATGCAGTGGAGACGAGCCTCGCACAGCCGCTTAGGGCGTGGGAGGATCACGCCTGCCAGGAGCATCGGGGCTCCCAGCCCGCCAATCTTTTCAGAGCGCCTCCTCCTGCCCTGGGCGAAGCAGGCGAGCTCATGTCTGACAGGGGTGCGAGGGCAGAGGGAGAGGAATGGAGAGGCAGGGAGGAGAGGCAGCGGATGCGACGCGACAAGAGGGAGGATCGCAGTGGCCGCCACCGCTGCCTTGGACGCGGATCGCATGGCGCGCCAGACAATGCACTGCTCAGTACACGGCGTGGACCGTCGGCGGCGAAGCTGCTGCGACCACGGCGCACTGCTGTGACCATGGCGCATCGCAGAGCTGCACCACCTGCTGTCACGCGCTGCCAGAGCACCTGCTGCAAGTGCTGGCCGCGCACACGCCTCGCCGTGCCTCCCGCGGGGCACTATAACTTGGAGCCCCTGCCCCCGAGCTCCCTCCACAGAGGCGAACCACGCCCCCCCCCCGGCCATGTCGGGGCGCCGCGGCCGGAGGAAGAGTCACGTGGGCTTTGCTGCAACGATGTACTCAAACTCCGTGCCCCGCCACAACAGGGACCAGGCCGCGAGGATCGCGGGGATGAAGCCGTAGCCGAACATGGTGACCTCCGCGTAGCCGACGTGGTCGGTCAAGATCCGAGCGAGCAGGAGCGCCCTGGCCCTCCAGCCGAGGTCTCCGACCTTGGCGCCCGGCAGGGCCCGAGCGCAGCCGTCCACGTCCGGCACCACCGGCACGGGCTCGCAGGGGCCGTGGCCTCTGCCGGGCTTGGCCGGCGTCGCCTCCGTGAGCCTGCCCTCGAACACGTCGCGGACGACCGTGTAGCAGACCCAGCCCATGAGGACGGCGACGGGCGGCACGGGGCCGAAGATGGCGGTGATGCCTGCCCAGCCAATGCCGCCGAGCGACTGGGATGCCAGCGCGGCGCTCGCCCCGTGGGCGGCGACGTCTCCGAGGAGCGCCGCGAGCCCGCCTGCCAGGGCCCACCGGACAGCCTCGACGGCCATGTACACGAAGGCGTTGATGATCGCGAACGAGTGCGCCTGGCTAACGATGTGCACCATGCCCATCTTGCCCGCGATGCCCCAGACCTGCGCGTGGGTGCGGAGCGACAGCTTCCAGAAGCCAGTGGCCGCCACCAGGTGCACGTACTGCAAGATGACGTAGGAGAGCTCCGCCATGCCCTGCGAGTGGCGACGGGCCTGCACGAACCGTGCATGGCAAGAGCGAAGCCAGCCTGCCGCGGTGCTGCTCTCGCCGGCGTCCACGAGGTACGAGAGAGCGGGCAGGAAAACGGGCTGCAACTTCACCTGCGGCTTCGGCGCAGGCTCGCCGTGCCCAGTGGGCTGCGCAGAGCCCTCCCGGAGCGCTGCGAAGAAGCACTTGCAGAACATGTGGTGGTCCTCCGCGATGACGTCCCTGTCCCAGCCGTCGACCAGAGGGTGCATGGCCAGGGCGAGCGTGGTGGAGTACGAGGAGTAGCAGAAGTGGTGGGAGACACCCTGGTTCGCCAGGCCCCCGAGCTCGAAGAACACGGTGGCGTAGCTGGACAGGCGCGTGGGGCCGGGCACGGAGAGCAGGTTGCGCATGAGCAGCACGGGGGGCTGCCAGAACGACCAGGACCGCTCCTGCACGGACATCTGAAGGGCCTGAAGGGATACGGCGCTGAGGTAGTTCGGGTGGAAGAGGGTATCCGCGTCGCCCACTGTCAGGAAGACCCGCGAGGGATCCCAGTGCACCAGGTCCGCGCCTTGCCACGAGGGGGAGGGGTCAGGGGGGAGGTCCTGGACCCTATAGGTCTTACACCGGGACAAGCATATTTATCCCCAGTCGTTTTTGTTCGCGGTCCCCAGTCCGAGGCGGGGATTTTTTCAGATTCACCGCCTGGGGGACCGATTTTTGAGAACCTCAGCAGGCGGCGGATATGGATGTATTCGGGCCCTGGGGGGTCACACACACATGTATATTTGTACATATGCACATACATATGTACATGCATGCATAGATGTATGCATGCATACATACATACATATGCATACTACAACCATGCATGCATGCCTGCATGCATGCATACATACATGCATGCATACATGCATACATACACGCATACGTACCTACATACATACATACATACCTACCTACCTACCTACCTACATACATACATACATACATGCATGCACACATGCATACATACATACATACATACATACATACATACATACATACATTCATACATACATACATACATACATACCATACATACATACATACATACATACATACATACATACATACATACGTATATATATACACATAAATACATACATGCATGCATACACACGTACACACACATTAATACATCCATACATACATACATGCATACACACATACATACATACATACATGCATGCATGCACGCATGCCTGCATACATGTATACATGCATACACACATACATCAATCCATACACGCATCCATACACACACGTACATCCATGCATACACACATACATACACGCATACATGCATACATACATACAAACCTGTCTGCATGCATGCATTCATGCATCCATGCATCCATACGTACATACATGC